GGGGTCGGGTGGGGCAAAGGCGCGGCCGGGAAGGTTGGCTGTGGTGGGTTCGGACCTGGTTAAGACGCGGCGTTGAGGACCCGTGACTATCGACCAGAGGCTGGGAGGGGTTAATTAGCGGACGCCTCCGCGGGGTGGCTGGTGGCGCTGTTAGGAGACGTGGCGCAACGAATGAGTACAGGGGAGGGGCTTCGTGAAGAAGCGGGGGTGGGGAGGGTTGCAGCGCTAGGAACGGGGTCACCGGGTCTAGGTCAATGTCGCCCTGGCAGGTGTAGGGCTCTTCATGCCTTTTTCTGGAGTGTTGTTGAGGTGGAATCGCTTTTTCTCCCTGGGGGCGCCAGTCAGCTGGATCCTTCCAGAATGAGCTCGGTGGAGTCTGACGCCGAACACTCTTCTTCCGGGACCTAGGTTTAATTCACAAATTGGGTATTTCTCTCCAGAGTGTTTCTCCCCAGGGCAACTAGTACACTGCATGCCTGCCAGTTGCCAGCCTGGCGAGGGCACGTTTGCGTCGTTTGGCTCATTCACTCTTGCTCTCAGTGTTGTTAGTCCCCAGAATTCAAAAGTTGGAACGCCAGTGGGCGGCACTATTCTTTTCCTACTAATTTGGAGCTTTAATAACACATAAGAGGAAGCACATTAGATTGTATTTACTTATGGAGGGAGCTTTCCCGTTACGTTTTATTTTAAGCTTTTCTACAAGACTGCAAAAGGAATTTCCAAAAATTCCATTTTTATATGCTATGTTGACCATCTCTGGGATGCAGCTATGGAAGGAAAGGAACTGCCTTTTTTTGTTTTGAGACGGGAGTCTCGCTTTGTCGCCCAGGCTGGAGTGCAATGGCACTAAGTTCGCTTACTGCAAGCTCCACCTTCCGGGTTCACGCCATCCTCCTGCCTCAGCCTCCTGAGTAGCTGGGACTACAGGCGCCCGCCACCACGCCAGGCTAATTTTTTGTATTTTTAGTAGCGACGGGGTTTCACCGTGTTAGCCAGGATGGTGTCGATCTCCTGACCTGGTGATCTGCCCTCCTCGGCCTCCCAAAGTGCTGGGATTACAGGCATGAGCCACCATACCCGGCCTTCAGATTTTAATTATAAGGAGAATGTTTGAAGGCTGCCTTAGAGTTTTAAGATTATATTTTGCTATAAGGAAACTCTGTATTTCATCGGTAAATGATAATTAGCGTGTAAGCAACTGTCTTAAGTGAACTAAGTACAGGCTTTCTCAAGGAATACAACGGGTAATATTAATAACCACCAAATACCAAAAATATGTCTTGACCTATTTTGCAACAGTGTTGTAATGCATATTGTGATTCATGTGTGGGAGTTTTGTAAATAATAAATAATAAAAGTATACTACACCTGCCAAGACTTATAATTAAAGACTAAATTAAATTAGGAGGCCAAAAACTTAGAAAATGTTTTTGGGATCTGCTTTAACTGTAAAAGTTTCCAAATTCTATTTATATTTGTGAAATAAGATTTATAATTCTACATGTGTTTTGGTTCTAGAGATGTGAAGGGTCATGATTTTCCTAGGAAGTTCCACTGACGATTCTGCCCATTCTAGATGAACATCTGTGAATTTTAATTTTTTTTTTTACACGGAGTCTCGCTCTGTCGCCCAGGCTGCAGTCGCCCTGACCTTGTGATCCGCGTGCGTCGGCCTCCCAAAGTGCTGGGATTACAGGCTTGAGCCACTGCTCCCGGTCCACCTGTGAATTTTCGAATTAGACTATTACAATAATGGCAAGGGCGGTGGCTCAGGCCTGTAATCCCAGCACTTTGGGAGGCCGAGGCAGACGAATTGCTTGAGCTCAGAGTCTGAGACCAGCCTGACCAACATAGCAAAATCCTGTCTCTACAAAAAAATACAAAAATTAGGCAGGCGTGGTCACACTTGCCTGTTATCCCAGCTACTTGGGAGGCTGAGGCAGGAGAATCGCTTGAACCTGGGAGGTGGAGGTTGCAGTGAGCCAAGATAGCGCCACTGCACTCCAACCTGGGTGACAGGGAGAATCTGTCTCCAAAAAAAAAAAAAAAAAAAAAAAAAATATATATATATATATATATATGTGCGTGCGCGCGTGTGTGTGTATATATATATATATAAATATAAAACAATAATAGTAGTGGGGTTCGTCAGTCTCTTTGGCAGCCTACCGAGTATTGATTCAGTAAAATCAATCACCTTTTTTTCTGTCCTTTAATCTTAACAATAGAAAACAAACAAAAAAATATATTTTAAAAGCAAAAATAAGGTCATATATTTTCACTTTTTTGCACTTAAGGTAGCCATGAGTATTTATTGGAAGTGATAAAGCCCACCAGGAACGTACCTGTAGTCCCAAAATGTTAGGTTTATTCATTTGCAATAGGTTGGAGTTTGGGTAAAATTTAAATGAAGCAATGCCCTGAAAGACTCAAAGCAGGCCGAGCATGGTGGCTCACACCTGTAATCCCAGCACTTTGGAAGGCCAAGGTAGGTGGATCACCTGAGGCCAGGAGTTCGAGACCAGTCTGGGCAACATGGCAAAACTCTGTCTCTTGTAAAAATGCAAAAAATGCTGGGCGTGGTGGCACACGCCTGTAATCCCAGCTACTCAGGTGGCTGAGGCATGAAAATCACTGGAACCCGGAAGGCGGGGGCTGCAGTGAGCTGAGGTCGTGCCACTGCACTCCAGCCTGGGCGACAGAAGGAGATTCTGTCTCAAAAACAAAACAAAACCAAACCCTCAAATCAAAGTGATGCAGTATGTAAAGAAGTTAATATCAAGTCTGGCCTAAATAGAATGAGAATTCTAATTCCTTGTAAATGACAAAGTTAAGCTGTTGTGTCTGAAACCCTTTACCTGAAGCTCTGCACCTGGTTGGAAATAAGGACTGCTTTTTCTGGGAGTGACCCATACAGTGGAATACCACTCAGAAATAAAAAGGAATGAACTATGAATACATGTAACAACATGGATTATGCTGAGTGAAAGAAGCCAGATAAAAGAGAGTACGTGGTGTATGATTCCGTTGGCATAAAACTTGAAAATGCAAACTAATCTGTAGTGACAAAGCAAATCAGTGATTTCTTGGGTATGGGGGTGGAGGGTGGTGGGAGGAAGGAGAAATGGGAGAGAGGGAGGGATTACCAAGGGGTACCAGGAAACCCTTGGGTGTGATGGATATGTGCGTTATTTTGATTGTGGTAATGGTTTTACAGGTATATATTTCAAAATTTATCAAATATATAAAGTATTGTTTAATTCGTGTCTATTATACTTGAATAAAGCAGTTCAAAAAAGATTTTAAAAAGTCACATATAGTTAGAGTGAAGATTTAGTATTTGATAGCACAACAGCGTGTCTATAGTCAGCAATAATTTATTGTACATTTAAAAATAAAAATATAATTGGGTTGTAACACAAAGGATAAATGCTGAAGTGATGGATACTCCATTTACCTTGATGTGACTATTATGAATTGTATGCCTATATCAAAATGTCTCATGTACCCTATAATATATACGTCTACTATGTACCCCCAAAAATTAAAAAATAAAATGACTCATAGAGCTCAGATCCTACAAGAGTGAGATGTTCCATTTTCACTGCTGAGATTTCAAAGTTTTTGCCAAACTATGATTTTAAAGAACAAGGTTTCTCAACACTATATCCTTGATGGTCATTAACAAAAACTTTTTTTTTTTGTAATGGAGTTTTGCTCTTGTTACCCAGGCTGGAGCACAATGGCACAATCTTGGCTAACTGCAACCTCCGCCTCCCAGGTTCAAGCTATTCTCCTGCCTCAGCCTCCTGAGTAGCTGGGATTACAGATGCGCACCACCGTACCCGGCTGATTTTTTTTGTATTTTTAGTAGAGACGGGGTTTCACCATGACCAGGCTGGTCTTGAACTTCTGACTTCAGGTGATCCGCTCGCCTGGGCCTCCCAGAGTGCTGGGATTACAGGCGTGAGCCACTGTGCCCGGCCACAAAAACATTTTTTAATGGGTTTGTACAATGTTCACTTAAAGTATCATTTATAATGGCAAGATATTGTCTGTCTCTGATTTAACATACTTTATTGTATAGTTAGGTTATTGACAGGATTTTTTGTTTTTTGCCATTAAATGCAGTTCTGTCATGAATATGTTTGTAACTAAATCTCGGTGAATATCCATGATTACTTCCTGAGATGCAGCAGTGGTGCTATAATTGCCTGAGCCATAGCTCACAATTTGTGAATTAAATACTTTCAGTTTGAAAATTTTAAGGGACGTGAAGTGCTACCTAATGCCCTTCATTTTATAGATGAGGAAAAGGGAGCTTCAAAGGGTCAAGTGTTATACCCTAGAGTCTGAGTGCTGAGTGACAGAGCCCAAACAGGAGCTCAGACCTCCCACTGCTC